CCATCCAAGTGTGAGGTCATGTGGGGCTGGGGTCGGCATAGTGGTCCCTGGAAAGGCATGGCTATCCTAGGATAATGAGGGACAGATGAGAAAGGGACACTCAAGGCAATGGGGAAAAAAGCGTGGGGAAAAGACGGGTTGACAGGAGTCTGAACTGTGGTGCAGAAGAGCGAGGACCAGGAGGGCTGCTCTGTTGGCCTTGGATATTAAGGAAGCAGCACAAGCTGTGGCCCATTTCACTTTCCCCTCGAGCACTGCAGGATGGTGGTGACGTGATAAAGCCAGTGGAGATAACAACCCCAAAGCTTTATGGAGCACGGACACTGGGGAGTTGTGTGATCCTTAGCCTCATTTTACAGGGGGAGAAGCTGAGGCTCAGAGAAGTTAATAAGTCAGCCAAGATCACACAGCTTGTCAGTGACAGGCCTGGAATTCAAAGCCAGGCCATGAGTCCAAGTCCCCGCTCCTTATCTTCATCAGCATATTCATTTGCTTTCAGAGCCGACTTGGTGGATCAGATCTCTGGGAAGCGTTGGGGCTGGGACACCAGATCCCACAGCCATGAGCTTTGCTGTTACGTCGAGTTCCCCTGTACGAACGCCTGCCCTCTGTCTCCGGAGAGAGTTTTGGGGATCCAGGGGTTAGAGTGGCTCCCTGAAGTCAAGTGCATGGCTAACTTCTGTGCCTCCTGCCCCTGCTCTTGGGCATTTCCAGGGTCTGTCTGAAACCTCTTTTCTCTCCTGCATCCTCCCTCTTCCCCAGGGCGTGGGTGCTATGCCAAAGGCTCCACCCAAATCAACGGAGTCAGAACTTCAGGGTGCACTTGGGTGGGGGAAGGGGAAGGAGGTTGGAAAGGTGGCTCAGGCATGGGTATTTTTTTTAAAAAAAGCTCCCCAAGGGAGTCTAATATGCATCCATGGTTGAGAACCCCTGCGGGCTTCCGTGTAAATAGATTTAGTCAGTGAAACTGGGAAGCTGTATCGGGATCACCCCTCTTTCTGCTTCATCCGCGGGCCCCCCCAGTGCTGTGCTGTCTCTTCTCCATCCCCACTCCTCCCTGGACAGACACACACGTGCACCCCTGAAGCTGCCCACCACGAAAGCCGAGGCTCCTATTTTCTAGAGCTGGAAACTCAGGAACGTGCAAGCTCTCATCCTTGGGTCTCCTCCCCATGTGGCCAAAACACACGTTCAGAAAGGGGGTCCTGTTGACGGGGAGCCTTGGGGTGCTCGGGCCTTGAACCCAGAGCCTTCCAGGAGAGAGCTTAACTGGGAGGGAAGGCAGAGAGGTTGACGCGTTTCCCTGCCTCTGCCTTCTCAGTCCCAGAGGTGAGGCTACTGCTCTGCCACCCCCACCTGCAGCCTCAGCCCCACCCCTCTTCTAGAACAGTCCAGCGGAGGCAAGAAATAGGGCAACAGCCTGCTCAACCTAACAGGCAGCTGGGCAGTCCCAGGTGGGCCTCAGAGCTGGCCGTCTGGATGGGCATCTGAGCGTCCCCTGGGTCTCCCAGGCTGGGAGCCAGGAGCCCAAGAGACCCCAGAGCCTGAGTTCCGGCGTCTCCCATCCCTCCTGGGCAGCCTGGTCCGAGAGTGGGCTCTGTCCTCTTCCTTTCTCCATACCTGTCCCCTTCCTCCCTTCCCCGGTTCCTCGTCCACCACAGAGGGTCTCCCTTCCTCTCTGAAGCCCTCACATTCTCTCTCCACGGGGCTGGAGCCTTCCCCTTCTTCCTGGTCTACTGGCTGGAGAATCTGGAAGGATCAAGGCCACACACCTGGATATGTGTACAGAAGCCTCTCGGCTTCCTGGCTTAAGAAACAGTTACCTGGGGCGCCTGGGTGGCTCAGTCGTTAAGCATCTGCCTTCGGCTCAGGTCATGATCCCAGGGTCCTGGGATCGAGCCCCGCATCGGGCTCTCTGCTCGGCAGGAAGCCTGCTTCTCCCTCTCCCACTCCCCCTGCTTGTGTTCCTGCTCTCGCTATCTCGCTCTCTGTCAGATAAATAAAT